GGTGAATGCAGGTGGCCGGAGGCCCAATCCCCTCCCCCCCCATCAACATGGTAGCGGAATTACACGATAGACTACCCCAGGAGGGTACCAGTACCCCTGGAGAATCCCTCGCTGAGCATCCACGACCATGTTATTCCAATCCTGAGCGTGGGTGCTCAGGCTGCTCGGGGCAAACTGAGCAACAATACCAAGGCAACCCCTGCCACGCTATCTGTCAATTTCTGCAACATCAGGGGACTTCACTCTAACCTAAACGCCGTCCACTACCATCTCGAGACGGCGAAGCCGGCCTTGCTCTTTCTGACCGAGACGCAGGTTTCCTCTCCGGCTGATATTTCGTATCTCTGCTACCCAGGGTACAAATTGGAGCACTCCTTTGTGTTTCGGGCTGGAGTTTGCGTGTATGTCAGAGAGGACATCTGTTCTCGACGCCTCGGCAGTCTTGAAGGTTCGGACCTGTCCATCCTTTGGCTACGCGTAGACAGCAACGACCATCCGCGCGTCTACGGGTGCCTCTATAGGTCCCATAGCGGTAATGCCGAAACAGACCGACTCATCGACCACGTCCAAATGGCTACAGATTCCTTGCTATAACAGGTCCCATCCGCAGAGACCGTGATCCTTGGCGATTTTAACGCCCACCATGCCGAATGGCTCGGTTCACGTTTAACCGATCATGCGGGGAGATCTGTTTATGACTTTGCCTTGGCATATGGTCTGACACAACTGGTTACTTCGCCTACGCGGATTCCAGATGTGGAGGATCATACACCTTCCCTGTTGGACCTTCTGCTGACCTCTCATCCGGACGGATATCAGGTTTCCGTCGATGCCCCTCTCGGCTCTTCGGACCATTGTCTGATCCGGAGTATGATGCCACTCACGCTCCCTTCGCGGTTGCGTTCTGCAGGTTGCCGCCGTGTTTGGCATTACAAGTCGGCGGATTGGAACGGAATGCGGTCTTTATTTGCATCCTACCCATGGGGGCGGGTTTGCTTCTCGCCGGATGATCCCAGCGCTGTTGCTGACTCTGTCACTGATGTGGTGCTACGGGGAATGGAACTATTTATTCTATCATCTGTGGTACCCATCGGAAGCAGATCTCAGCCTTGGTTGGTCGCTCCTGTAAGACTGCATTACGCAGTAAGCAGGAGTGTTATCAAGCCTGGGCTGCGGCTTCGGCGACTCGGGATGTAAACACCAGCACACTTAAAATGAAGTATAACTTTTCCTCCAGGTCCTTCAAAAGAGTTATTGCCAAGGCAAAGTCGGAGCACATAGGCAGAATTGGCGAGAAACTAGTTCGCCTTCCTTCGGGAACCCGTGCATTCTGGTCTCTCGCCAAGGCTGTCTAAGGGAATTTCTGTAAGCCATCACTACCATCTCTGCACAGGGAGGACGACTCACTGGCCCAAGACGCAAAAGACAAAGCCGACCTGTTAGGCTCCCTTTTTGCGTCCAACTCGACTCTTGATGACGGGGGGATAACACCGCCGACCATCCCGCGGTGTGAGTGCTCCATGACGGATGTGCTGTTCTCACAGCGCTCGGTTCGCAAAGCACTTCTCTTCCTGGACATCCAGAAGTCGAGTGGGCCTGACGGAATCCCCCCAATTGTGCTGAGAACGTGTGCTCCGGAGTTGGCACCGGTCCTAACGTGTCTTTTCCGGTACTCCTACTCCCAAGGCGTAGTCCCGAATTCACGGAAGACAGCTTTTGTCCACCCGATCCCTAAAAAAGGCGACCGCTCAGACCCGTCCAACTATAGGCCTATCGCGATCACCTCCTTATTCTCCAAAATAATGGAATCCATTATTAACTGCCAGCTCATCCGGTACCTTGAGGATCACCAGCTGATTAGTGACCGCCAATACGGTTTTCGTCGGGGTCGATCAGCTGGTGATCTTCTGGTCTACCTGACCCATAGATAGGCGGAGGCAGTAGAGTCCAAGGGGGAGGCATTGGCCGTTAATCTGGACATTGCGAAGGCCTTCGATCGGGTTTGGCACAAAGCGCTTCTTTCGAAGCTCCCTTCCTATGGGCTTCCCGAGAAATTGTGCAATTGGATCACCAGCTTCCTTGCAGATCGGAGCATCAAGGTTGTTGTAGACGGTGCATGTTCTGACTACGAGCCTATTAACGCTGGTGTTCCACAAGGCTGTGTGCTATCACCAACGCTGTTTCTTCTGCATATCAATGATATGTTGCTAACAGGTAACATTCATTGCTATGCGGATGACAGCACTGGTGATGCTCTATACACCGGCCGTGCCAATATTTCTCGGGAAAACGTCGCCGAGTACCGGAACAAACTTCTGTCTGAAATCGAGTCTTTGCTGAACAAAGTCTCGGATTGGGGGCGACTAAATCAAGTCCAGTTTAATCCTCAGAAGACACAAGTTTGCGCGTTTACCGCTAAAAAGAACCCCTTTGTCGTATCTCCTCAGTTTCAAGGCACTGCCCTTCTTGCCTCAGCCAGTATCGGTATCCTTGGAGTCGACATATCGAGTGACGTGCAGTTTCGTGGTCACTTGGAAGAGAAGGCCAAATTGGCCTCCAAAAAGCTTGGCGTGCTCAGCAGAGCGGGACAGTATTTCATGCCGGCACACCGCCTGCAACTTTACAAGGCGCAGGTTCGGCCTCACATGGAATACTGTTCCCATCTCTGGGCAGGGCCTCCCCAGTGCCAGCTCCTTCCACTTGACCGCATCCAGCGCAGAGCGGCTCGAATCGTCGACGACCGAGCCCTTTCCGATCGGCTCGATTCATTGGCACTGCGAAGAGATGTTAGTTGCATCCCTTTGCATTTTCTTTCGCATCTACCATGGGGAGTGCTCTGAGGAATTGTTCGGATTAATCCCAGTCGCCAAATTTCACGAACGCACATCGCGGCAGAACTCCCGATACCATCCACACCATCTGGATGATTGGCGGTCCACCACTGTGCGATTTAGATGTTTTCTTCCTCGCACGACTTCCTTATGGAATCGATTACCATCAGCGATTTTTCCGGACCGATACGACTTAGGGACCTTCAAGAAAAGAGCGTACTCCTTTTTAAAAGGCCGGCAACGCATCTGCAATTCCCTCCCTGGTGTTGCAGTTGTTCATGGGCGGCGGTAGTCACTTACCATCAGGTGAGCCGCATGCTCGTTTGCCCCCTCTCCTATAAAAAAAAATATTGATATCACTGGTCCAACAATATCCAGAATTGTTTAATTATGAAGATCCACATTATCATGATGAATTAAAAACATATCTTCATCCGTGCTGTCCATGACGCTAAATCGACCTATTTTGATGAAGAATTTGCGATGAATGAACAATTCGATTCGATTCGTCAGAGATGGACGCGTTAGGAATAAATGCGACTCGCTTCGATTCGACGCATTTTTGCTGTAGTCGACGCCAGGCTTAATAATATGTCGTTGTTGACTTTTGCTTCGGCAGAGTTGTTGACTTTGACGTGTTGACTTTGGTTAAGATGTTGACTTTGACTTTGGATTTATTTATTTTGACTTTTGTTAAGTACGAGGGGTGATCCAAAAGTAATGATAATGAAAATAAAACACTGTAATTAAAGTTAAAATAATAATTTATTTTTCTACATAGTCTCCTAACAAATCAATACATTTAGTCCATCTATTTTCTAAACCCAGGATTCCCTTTAATAAAAATTCTTTGTCTTGACCCTCCCAAAACGCTTCAACAGCGGCCATTACTTCGTTATCGTCTTCGAATTTCTTGCCTCGGAGGCGTTCCTTGAGCCGAGGAAAGAGGTAGAAATCACTAGGAGCTAGATCTGGCGGATAGGGAGGGTGTTCGAGCAGTTCGAATCCCGTTTCTTGAATGGCAGCCATCGCAACTGCGGCTTTGTGAGCCGGTGCGTTGTCTTGGTGAAACAGCACTCCAGCTCGCAGTTTGCCGCGTCTTTTTTCCTTAATGGCCTCCCGTAATCTTCTTATTTGGTTTGCGTAGTAAGAGCCCGTAATAGTGGCTCCCTTTTCCAAATATTCCACCATAATTATGTATTGAGCGTCCCAAAAAACAGATGCCATAACCTTTCCCGCCGAACTTGAAACTTTGAATTTCTTTGGCGCCGGTGAGGAGGCTCGCTTCCAAGTCATCGATTGTTGTTTCGTTTCAGGATCAAAATGGTGGATCCAGGTCTCGTCCATAGTCACAAAACGGGACAAAAAATTTTCTTGATCTGCTTGGAACTTTTCGAGATTGACCCTCGAAATGTCAACTCGGTTTTTCTTTTGCTCGTCGGTTAACATTCTGGGTACCCAACGCGCAGAGACCTTTTTCATATGCAACTCGTTCGCAAGGATTCTTTGAACGCTGCCATATGAGATCCCTGAGACCTCAGCTACATGCCTGATGGTCACTCTTTGATCTGTTAACACAACATCTTCGACTTTTTTCACGTTGTCTTCAGTGAGGGACGTGGATGGGCGTCCTTCGCGATGTTCATCTTCAGTGGATGTTCTGCCCAGCTTAAACTCCTTGGCCCAGCGTGCAACTGTAGAATATGGAGGAGCAGAGTCCCCCAATGTTTCCACTAAGTCACTGTGTATGTCTTTTGAAGACATTTTTTCAAACAGAGGTACTTGATGACAGCTCTAATTTCGTTTTTCTCCATGTTGATGTTATATCTTTGACAGTTCGTATTCAAATGAATGTATCTCCCGGAAATCGTGATCTATTTATATGATTTTTCAGGCTGACGTAGTGAGTATATAAGCAAGTAAAAAATATTTTTTTGGATTTTTATGCGGACCTGAAGTAACCGATTATCATTACTTTTGGATCACCCCTCATATGTGATTTTGATTACTTGGACTTTTGCGCAGTTGTTGTCTTTGTTTATGAATGAGGTGTTGATTTTGACTTCAGTTCAGTTAATGTTGACTTGGATAAACTATAGACGTTGACTTTGGCTGCGTTGTTGACGTTGACTTTGGTTGAGTTGTTGAGTTAGAGTTTATATTGTGCAGGCGCTGGTGGCGAGGTTTTTGTCGCGCGTGCCCTCCTCGCACGTGCGTCTCCGCGCGCTTTGGGCGCGTGCGCTGCGCGCCGTGCCGCAGGCCGCGCGCCGCGACGACGGCGGCCTCGCCGCGCTCGCGCCGCACTACCGCAGGTGAGACTGCCCCTACACACACACACGCACACGCTCCCACACGCACACACACGCACACTGCGCGCCGTGCCGCAGGCCGCGCGCCGCGACGACGGCGGCCTCGCCGCGCTCGCGCCGCACTACCGCAGGTGAGACTGCCCCTACACACACACGCACACGCTCCCACACGCACACACACGCACACTGCGCGCCGTGCCGCAGGCCGCGCGCCGCGACGACGGCGGCCTCGCCGCGCTCGCGCCGCACTACCGCAGGTGAGACTGCCCCTACACACACACGCACACGCTCCCACACGCACACACACGCACACTGCGCGCCGTGCCGCAGGCCGCGCGCCGCGACGACGGCGGCCTCGCCGCGCTCGCGCCGCACTACCGCAGGTGAGACTGCCCCTACACACACACACGCACACGCTCCCACACGCACACACACGCACACTGCGCGCCGTGCCGCAGGCCGCGCGCCGCGACGACGGCGGCCTCGCCGCGCTCGCGCCGCACTACCGCAGGTGAGACTGCCCCTACACACACACGCACACGCTCCCACACGCACACACACGCACACTGCGCGCCGTGCCGCAGGCCGCGCGCCGCGACGACGGCGGCCTCGCCGCGCTCGCGCCGCACTACCGCAGGTGAGACTGCCCCTACACACACACACGCACACGCTCCCACACGCACACACACGCACACTGCGCGCCGTGCCGCAGGCCGCGCGCCGCGACGACGGCGGCCTCGCCGCGCTCGCGCCGCACTACCGCAGGTGAGACTGCCCCTACACACACACACGCACACGCTCCCACACGCACACACACGCACACTGCGCGCCGTGCCGCAGGCCGCGCGCCGCGACGACGGCGGCCTCGCCGCGCTCGCGCCGCACTACCGCAGGTGAGACTGCCCCTACACACACACGCACACGCTCCCACACGCACACACACGCACACTGCGCGCCGTGCCGCAGGCCGCGCGCCGCGACGACGGCGGCCTCGCCGCGCTCGCGCCGCACTACCGCAGGTGAGACTGCCCCTACACACACACACGCACACGCTCCCACACGCACACACACGCACACTGCGCGCCGTGCCGCAGGCCGCGCGCCGCGACGACGGCGGCCTCGCCGCGCTCGCGCCGCACTACCGCAGGTGAGACTGCCCCTACACACACACGCACACGCTCCCACACGCACACACACGCACACTGCGCGCCGTGCCGCAGGCCGCGCGCCGCGACGACGGCGGCCTCGCCGCGCTCGCGCCGCACTACCGCAGGTGAGACTGCCCCTACACACACACACGCACACGCTCCCACACGCACACACACGCACACTGCGCGCCGTGCCGCAGGCCGCGCGCCGCGACGACGGCGGCCTCGCCGCGCTCGCGCCGCACTACCGCAGGTGAGACTGCCCCTACACACACACACGCACACGCTCCCACACGCACACACACGCACACTGCGCGCCGTGCCGCAGGCCGCGCGCCGCGACGACGGCGGCCTCGCCGCGCTCGCGCCGCACTACCGCAGGTGAGACTGCCCCTACACACACACACGCACACGCTCCCACACGCACACACACGCACACTGCGCGCCGTGCCGCAGGCCGCGCGCCGCGACGACGGCGGCCTCGCCGCGCTCGCGCCGCACTACCGCAGGTGAGACTGCCCCTACACACACACGCACACGCTCCCACACGCACACACACGCACACTGCGCGCCGTGCCGCAGGCCGCGCGCCGCGACGACGGCGGCCTCGCCGCGCTCGCGCCGCACTACCGCAGGTGAGACTGCCCCTACACACACACACGCACACGCTCCCACACGCACACACACGCACACTGCGCGCCGTGCCGCAGGCCGCGCGCCGCGACGACGGCGGCCTCGCCGCGCTCGCGCCGCACTACCGCAGGTGAGACTGCCCCTACACACACACACGCACACGCTCCCACACGCACACACACGCACACTGCGCGCCGTGCCGCAGGCCGCGCGCCGCGACGACGGCGGCCTCGCCGCGCTCGCGCCGCACTACCGCAGGTGAGACTGCCCCTACACACACACACGCACACGCTCCCACACGCACACACACGCACACTGCGCGCCGTGCCGCAGGCCGCGCGCCGCGACGACGGCGGCCTCGCCGCGCTCGCGCCGCACTACCGCAGGTGAGACTGCCCCTACACACACACACGCACACGCTCCCACACGCACACACACGCACACTGCGCGCCGTGCCGCAGGCCGCGCGCCGCGACGACGGCGGCCTCGCCGCGCTCGCGCCGCACTACCGCAGGTGAGACTGCCCCTACACACACACGCACACGCTCCCACACGCACACACACGCACACTGCGCGCCGTGCCGCAGGCCGCGCGCCGCGACGACGGCGGCCTCGCCGCGCTCGCGCCGCACTACCGCAGGTGAGACTGCCCCTACACACACACGCACACGCTCCCACACGCACACACACGCACACTGCGCGCCGTGCCGCAGGCCGCGCGCCGCGACGACGGCGGCCTCGCCGCGCTCGCGCCGCACTACCGCAGGTGAGACTGCCCCTACACACACACGCACACGCTCCCACACGCACACACACGCACACTGCGCGCCGTGCCGCAGGCCGCGCGCCGCGACGACGGCGGCCTCGCCGCGCTCGCGCCGCACTACCGCAGGTGAGACTGCCCCTACACACACACGCACACGCTCCCACACGCACACACACGCACACTGCGCGCCGTGCCGCAGGCCGCGCGCCGCGACGACGGCGGCCTCGCCGCCATCTTCTTTCTCGCATTTCTTTTTTGCGAATGTTTGAGTTTTGCGACAGTGGTTATAGTACAAATTATGCGTTTTGCTACTTCCTCTTGTTTTTTATATTTCGTGGTTAAATCGAATAAAAAATAACTAAAAGAATAAAGTAATTTCCACATATTTTAATAGCTTCTGAAGTATGGCTTCTTTGACACTATCTTAGCACCGACTTCAGAAAACTTAATTATGATAAACCCAAAAAAATAATGTAAAAAAATATGTCTGTTACGCGATATCTTTGCCAATTCTGAACCGACTTTAATGATTCCGTTTTTATTAAATTAATTAAATTATATCCCGGTACTACCTTGGTCGAGACGACTCATTCGTGCTACAACCATAATATAGCTGCAGCGTGGCTCTAGCACATATACAAATTTCAAAACTTTTTACAGATACATTCAAAACACAACGGGCTGGTCCGCTATTTTGGAGTCGTGCGGAATATTGTCCGAAGCGATAGACCCCGCGAGAACACCACACGCGTTGACCACTGCCGTAAGTCAATTTGAATATATTCACAAAAATCAGTGAGACGAAGTTGAAGATTGTAAACACCTTGATCTTCACTGAGTTGTTTTACGATTGCGATTTTTATATCTGTCCTTTTCTCTCGCAAGCAATATCGACATACACAGCTCTGCAATTTGAAAATACTACAAGTTTGTTCCTGCCTGTAATGCGCTCAAATTATTACGTGTTGCTATCGTTTTCGCATTTTGATTGGTATTGACGGTATTGACAACGTATTTAGATCCGAAATTTGACTATTTGTGATTTTGCACTAAGTGTTGGGGTTGGGGATTCGAATTAACACTTTCACTGTCTGGTTGTCAGACACAATAGTAAGACAATAACAGTGACCTATATGTAGTGCACGAGACAGCGAAAGTGTTAAGTGCCTACGCTATTGTACCTAGGAATTCCGACTACTAGATGGCATGGTCATCAAATGTTAATATTACATTATTCATTACAGCCTATAAAAAGTCCACTGCTGAAGCTAGGCTTAATCAATGAGTGATTGTCTCTGGTTTTGCCATTTCCACGTTTGGCTGGTGGGTTGGAAACCGATTTTTTTTATTATTATTTTCAGTTGTTATAAGGTACCTGTTTCAGTTTCCTTTTGTCGCCTCTTACGACACCCACCGGACACCAAACGGTTACCGTTTTTTTATAGGATAGAGTGACAAACGAGCACACAGTCCACCTGATGGTAAGTGGTTGCTGTGACCCATAGACATCTACATCTATCCTTAATAAAGAATCAAAATGCAGATGCGTTGTCACCCGTGAGGACCCGTTTAAGATGGAATGCCTCTTTTCCAGTAAAAAGGGTCTCCGGTTCTCTACACTCACCATATGAAACACAGCAGTGTTAAGCTGCTATTTAACGCTGGTATTCTGTGAGAGCGTGGTCCTTCCCCGGCCGAGCCGACCCGACCCATTCGTGCTACAACTATATTACTAATATAGATGCAGCATGGCTCTAGCACGTAAAAGCTACCGTTACCGTTACATCCTATTAAATTTCACTGCTGAACACAAGCCTCCCCTATAGATACCACTACACGCCATAATAATATGAATGTATTATGTAAAATAATTATTTTTTTCTTTAGCTTACACTAAGCTGCGTATGCGCAATGCTTGAGAAGGCGATGATGTTAGTAAACACTCCAGAGGCGACATCTAGCGAGCGGCAGTGGTTCAAATTCCTCAAGAGTCTAGCGAGGGCACTTAAAAACACCACTCTGGTGGTCGCGAAACCCGTCCAGCCTTTAGCGGAGTCGAAGGTGGTGCATCACTTAAAACAGCTCGAGTCCAGGAGCACCATAGAGATCCTGCAAAGAGGCAGAACGACCGCGGAGTTCGCTGATCTGACGAAAAACGATGTTTCTGTACAGTTGATTAAACATTTATGTTGATACTTGTATTGTTGCGTTGATTATAAATTTACGATATTGACAGTTATGGATCGGCCATTTGTGTTCGGTTTAAAAAGTTGACGCCATTTTGTGTTCAGTTTACAAAGTTGACGCCATTTTGTATTGGTTCGGTATAGGTAATCGTAAAAAGTATTCGTAACGTTTTAGATTTTGGCTCACCGTTAATGGATGCGATAAGGTTACATCTAATTAAGATGCAAATATTGTCTTTGAAGTTTGACCGACATTTAGATGATGCGAAATCGATGACTTATCTAACTAGCGGGCAAAGATGAATTGAGTTATAACAGTAATAATTGACCGTCTTATGAAAAACTATGGAGCGATCATTTTATCTTTGACTGCTGGTGAATTATCTGTATAAAGTTTTATTGTAGATAATCGTTATTCAGTTTTTTGTGCAAGAAAGGGCCTAGACATACTAATGTGTTTTTAATTTATTTTTGCATTCTAAACATTGTAGGTTTAGAGTGAGAAAAGTTGTGACGTACCTTTTGTTTCGATGAATTGGCATCTCCAGCGGGCGATCGAGAATCATTAATCATTAAATAATTGTGTATTAATAAATAATGGTGTTAATGAAATGTCGAATTTCTTTTTTAATTTGTTTGCGACATTTATTTAGTTGTTAAAGAGGTCAAGCACTGGACAATTGTTAATCCAAACTTATAAATATTATAAATTATTCTATTTAATATGCAATTCAATTCTATAGTAAATGCCATACGACAATTGTAGGTTAATTTTTCGATTTTCCAACATTTTTCTAATCTGATATCGCATTGCATTAGCATTTATTTACTTTTCTCTCTGCTTTTCCATTTCATAACGTAATTAGATTGAATATTGCCATTTGACACTTATGCGACATCTGTATTTAAAATATTTTATAGATAAGACTTACTTGATTTTAATTTGAACTTCTCGTCCAAATTAAAATCGAGTAAGAAATTTAATATAAAAATTGCAATGGCTGCGTCTTCTACTGAATGTCACTTATTTTTTTTTTGTCGTTCTGTGATATACGTTTAGCAGAGAATGGCAACATTTAAAGTTTTCTTATTTTACCTATTGAGCTGTATGAGGAGTGGTGTTGTTTATATAAGTAATTTTTATTTCGGAATAAATAGTAATACCGTATGTGTTTAAAGGCCGCCACATATTATCAGTTTATTATTGTAAATATTAAGAAGAGTAAATAAAAATCATTTATATGTTTTATCCATATAGACGGTTGCTTAATTTAAAAAAAAAAGTATAAAGGACGCTTTTGATATGGTTTAACAATGTAAGGGTTTGTTAAGTCCATTGAATTTATAATATGGAGGATAATATGTTTGCAATCCATAAAAATTCGTGGAGACATATATTTTTTTTTTATTTAATCTGATCTGAGGATTGATTTTTAAACGATATTAACTATTTTATTATTGATGAAAAGACTGTGATCGGTATCGATTTTATTCTATTTTCTTTGTTGTCTATGCTTCATTTTAAAATGTGATTTCAAATGTGATAAAGTAAAAATCAATCCACAGATTAATTACAAAATCACATTTCGACATTTGTTTCACGTTAATGTGTTTTTGGAATTAGTTTAAATTTGTTGTATAAAAATATCTTATTATATATTTTAATAAGACGTATAGTAGATTCGTACCGTTGCGTGTATCATTTCATTTCTGAACCTAAATTATAACGAATAATATTTTACACTTGTAAATTTTACTTACACAAATTATTAATCATAGTGTAATATGTATAAATTTACTACCCGTGCAAATAAACAGTGGGATTATAAATGGCATCGCGTCTATTCATCTCTCGCTTGCACACTATCACTGTCTATACTAACACGCGCTGGTGATAACAAAAAAATAATTCACGCGTTGCTTTAAGGTGGAAGCGCCATGGCAGCCCGCGAAATTCAAATTTTCTTACGTTGTATGTTTAACAAAATATGATTCGCGACCGTAACGAATATGTATTTACAGAATTATAATCATCAATACAACCGTCTATGTTCGTATAATTCCAATGTATGGCTATTTCCAGAAAAACTCATTCAAAGGGTGCATGCTGAACTTAGAGGGTTGTATTGGTGATTTTAATGATAATAATTATATAAACATATACTCGTTACGGTCGCGAATCATATTTTATTAAACATTCAATCTGACCCTGACCTGCAAATTCCAAAAAACGCAAGAAAATTTGAATTTCGCGGGCCACCCTGGAGCTTTCACCTTAAGTGTCTTTATTTATGCTTCTAGCTTCCGTAACAGAACATAACCGTTCAACATACTTATTATAAGTGTTAAATTTTATTGTGTAGCAGTCGCAATAAGTAAATAACTAAAAATTATTGTAAGTATTGTTTTGAACGAGAAGTAATCTAAATTACTTCTCGTTCAATACACTGCAGCTTTCAAAATTTCACTTTTAAACAAAGGCCCTCCTCTATAGATTGCGTCAGAGGAGGGATAGTTTCCGCAGTTTGTTATTAGTTTGATTTGTTATCAGGAAGATGCTGCTGCCCAGTTCCTGTCCAATTTCACTCTGTCGCCTCTTACGATACCCACGGGATGATATGGAATAGTGGATTAGCCTACGCCGCAACTAAGCAACGCGTTTAAATTAGTATATAAAATCGTTATTTTTAAATTAACGATATAACGTTATTAACGCTATTTTCGCTAAAGGTGTCTTGACAAGGTGGCTTTGTGAACCGCCATTTTTAATCTCATTATCGACACGGATAGTATTAAGTTTTTCGTCTTATTTATTTTCGGAAATGTTTGATAGTTTTTAGAGTTCGTTGGTTTCATGTAAATAGTGTAAGACAATTTGTACAATTTGTAATTTTGACATTAAAACAGAAACTGATCAAAAATAAATGTTAGAAATTAAAATTGTTTGAAATAACTATATTGCATTGAAAATAAGGAAAACCATTGAATTTAGAAAATCCGGCACAGATTATGTAAGTAGCTTTTAGTTATTTGTGTAAATAGGATTTACGAAGTGTAAACTAGGTTTTATACACTGGCATAAAGACAGCTTAAAGTAAAAAGTAATGTAAATAAAAAAAACCCATTCATTAAACCATAAGCATATCTTATTTTGTTATCACAACTTTTATTTTGTAAAATTAACCTTTTTAACTAACCTTTTTTTATTCTATATCCACGTTTCGTAATGGAAGGAATTATATCGTTTTTTTTTACTACCTATTAGTAGTTTTTAGTTTTTTTAATCGGTAAAAATAAATTGATAATTTGTTTATAGCAACACACGTGTTTTATTTCCCTATTTGGACGCATCACGCTTGATTTTGTCTTGCCTTAATCCGAAGCCCCTAACACTTACGTTGTGGTCGACAGCGGCTAGGAGAACATCATTAAAGGTCAAGCAGGACGCCGACTCTTACTAATCTTAGTACGACTGTTTGTCACCTCATTACAGCCCTGGTAATGCAGAGGCAAGACTTCGCACCGCATTAACAGCCAACTTCATTGCCGGCCATAGGTCTTTCTCAATCTGTCAGCTGGTGAGTAGTGAGATTTCTCCACAGGTACCAACCACAGTGTGCTGTACATCACATCATGGAATGGGTTGAATTTGCTATTATTGTTATTACCTGGTTCGTATGTCAGCACATCGTGTTGCGGGCAGGATGTGGTTGACGTTTGGGGAATAGATTCAGTATTTTCACACACTCGTCGAGTAGCATGGGATGGCCACAATATTTGTTATGCCGCACGTCATGCTCCTCGTCATGCCCATCACTTCCTGTTTTGTCTGTTTTTTGGGAGCGAGTCAAAGGACTGGCAATATGTCCACCCGATCCCTAAAAAAGGCGACCGCTCAGACCCGTCCAACTATAGGCCTATCGCGATCACCTCCTTGTTCTCCAAAATAATGGAATCCATTATTAACTGCCAGCTCATCCGGTATCTTGAGGATCACCAGCTGATTAGTGAGCGCCAATACGGTTTTCGTCGGGGTCGATCAGCTGGTGATCTTCTGGTCTACCTGATCCATAGATGGGCGGAGGCAGTAGAGTCCAAAGGGGAGGCGTTGGCCGTTAGTCTGGACATTGCGAAGGCCTTCGATCGGGTTTGGCACAAAGCGCTTCTTTCGAAGCTCCCTTCCTATGGGCTTCCCGAGAAATTGTGCAATTGGATCACCAGCTTCCTTGCAGATCGGAGCATCAAGGTCGTTGTAGACGGTGCATGCTCTGACTACAAGCCTATTAACGCTGGTGTTCCACAAGGCTGTGTGCTATCACCAACGCTGTTTCTTCTGCATATCAATGATATGTTGCTAACTGGTAACATTCATTGCTATGCGGATGACAGCACTGGTGATGCGCTATACACCGGCCGTGCCAATATTTCTCGGGAAAACGTCGCCGAGTACCGGAAGAAACTTGTGTCTGAAGTCGAGTCTTTGCTGAACAAAGTCTCGGATTGGGGGCGACTAAATCTAGTCCAGTTTAATTCTCAAAATACACAAGTTTGCGCGTTTACCGCTAAAAAGAACCCCTTTGTCGTATCTCCTCAGTTTCAAGGCACTCCCCTTCTTGCCTCAGTCAGTATCGGTATCCTCGGAGTCGACATATCGAGTGACGTCCAGTTTCGTGGTCACTTGGAAGAGAAGGCGAAATTGGCCTCTAAAAAGCTTGGCGTGCTCAGCAGAGCGGGACAGTATTTCATGCCGGCACACCGCCTGCAACTTTACAAGGCACAGGTTCGGCCTCACATGGAATACTGTTCCCATCTCTGGGCAGGGGCTACCCAGTGCCAGCTCCTTCCACTTGACCGCATCCAGCGCAGAGCGGCTCGAATCGTCGACGACCGAGCCCTTTCCGATCGGCTCGATTCATTGGCACTGCGAAGAGATGTTGCATCCCTTTGCATTTTCTTTCGCATCTACCATGGGGAGTGCTCTGAGGAATTGTTCGGATTAATCCCAGCCGCCACATTTCACGAACGCACATCGCGGCAGAACTCCCGATACCATCCACACCATCTGGATGAATGGCAGTCCACCACTGTGCGATTTAGAAGATGTTTTCTTCCTCGCACGACTTCCCTGTGGAATCGATTACCATCGATTTTTCCGGACCGATACGACTTAGGGACCTTCAAGAAAAGAGTGTACTCCTTTTTAAAAGGCCGGCAACGCATCTGCAATTCCTTCCCTGGTGTTGCAGTTGTTCATGGGCGGCGGTAGTCACTTATTATCAGGTGAGCCGCATGCTCGTTTGCCCCCTCTTCTATAAAAAAAAAATGAGTGGCTGGTCACATACTCGCGCAAATACAGTCCGAATCGAGCGCTCGTTACGGAAGCGACGTTCTATTGCGTTGAATAGATGTCATCCACCATCTCCGTTCGCGAGAACGACGACGTATATTTCTTTTTATGACATTGATATAATTAGCTATACTAAATAATGCATATAGTGCGCATGCTGCCACAGTTTCATTAACCAGTGTGCGACCTAATGCGGAGCGTCGCGATTAATTGCGGTAGTAGTAGTGTGTGAGCAGAGAGGGCAACATGGCGGCGACCATAGTGTGGCCGTTATAAATATCAAATTAAGAGTACCCTTAACTGACGAGCATATATGCGAATACTGGGTCGGGCCGGAATAATTTTTCTGTCAAAAAATGCTCAGTGCAGACGTTAGTCAGAAAGTTAGCCGTATTTTCATACCCGTGCCTCGTTAAGCAAGTGAAACCGTTGGTCCTGTGCCTGATCTCTCTCCGGTGGTGTCGGTTTACCGTCCCATCGGACTATGAGAGGAGGGAATAGAGAGTGCACCCCTGCTTGCGCATACACTTGGGCACTATAATCCAGTCCTGCGCAGATGGCTAGTCTCCGTTGAGACTGGCCTCCGTGACCGAAATTCGGTCTGGAGGACATTATTATTACAACGTTCATCATCATCATTACAGCCTTTCACGAGTCCACTGCTGAACATAGGCCTCTCCCAAGAAATGCCACAAAGCACGGTCCCGAGCCACCTGCATCCATTGACTTCCTGCATGTCTTACCAGGTCATCACTCCACGAGGCTGTCACTCGAAAACCTTTCTCCCCCATCGGTTGTCGGTTCTTCGAGCTATATGGCCGGCCCATTGCCAATTCAGCATACTAATTCTTTGGGCTATGTCGGTTACTCTGGTTCTACTGCGGATATCCTCGTTTTTAAGTCTATCACGTATATTACAATGTTATTTCTAGGTAATTTCAAACTAGACAATTTGTCAGGCGATTCCATTTATTGATCACAAAGATTTTTGTTGGCGGAACAATACATATATCAAGTAAAATTGGACGTGGTTATGCAAAAAGGATCCAACCCGAGTTTGTGTCAAAAATGTTGACTTGAAAAATAATACTTATTATGTGATTTAACAATTTTAGCAAAAGTAACACAAATGAGAAGAAAAACTACAAACAGACAGAAACCATACCGATAATTACTAATATGATATAATAAGTATGGATACTTCAAAAATCATAAACTTAAATTAACTTATCGTGGGTTGGATCCTTTTTGCATAACTACGTCCAATTCTTTATTGTCTTAGCGCTTAAGTAAACTTAAACTCATTTTATGAGTAACTGCACAATTTTAGCTCTTGCAGCATACTGAACACTGTTTCCACGAGTTTATATTTCATATTAAAAGCCGCTCGTCGTGCGTCTACTGATCCGTAGGACATGTTAAGCGTGAACAAGTCTGGGTAGAACTGTAAAGAAAGTTGTCATTAGAAATAATGTAAAATGTAACATTATAAATTGCGACAAGTTTGTCAAGTAGAACGAATATACTATTGGATACTATTGTAGTATCTATTGCAGGCTTAGATGAACTGGCCTATACACCAAGTGCCCTCTGCGACAGTCACGGGATGAAGTGATAGGTTCTCTTTTGACATTCACACGGTTAATATACTTCTTTTTTAAGATTTCATCATCATCATCAAAGCCCCTTCACAAATCCACTTCTGTACATAAGCCTTCCTCAAGTAATGTCATACAAATCAAAGCACGGATCTAAACCTCTTGCATCCATCGACTGCCTGCCTTTTTTTATTATTAAAATACTTTTGATCTTGTCTTATTCTCCTCAAAAATTCTATCTGGAAATCAGATATTTTTCTGGCATTTTTACAGTTGTCTCTTTTGACACCTAGCTACATTGGGATTTTGGAGATTTAGTTTTACGTTATGGGTACAACCGTAACAAGGTGTCATACCTTACCATACATCTGGTGTTGCTAGCGGCTATATGTGTCGGTTAGAGCAAATCGTTTTTAGTATTCTTTTTGTTGTAGAGACCTCTTGCTACATACAAAGCGTATTTTGTACTCATGCATATTGATGCGGAGTTGTTCGAAAACTTCGCTAGCGGGATCTAGGTCATATTAGTTGATCGATCTGTATGCACCATTGTAGTATGGTGATATCGCCACCATAACAGTGTTGATTATGATAATCTATGACGAGAAAATGGTAAGAAACTGTACTGCTGTTGCTACGCCTTACCTGAAGACCAGCTAAAGGCTCCAGGTTGAGTTCTTGCGACAGCTCGTTGCATTTAAGTATGGTGGCGCGCTGTGGTGTTGTGTGGAGTAGTTGAAATTTTGCCTATAGATGATACCATATTATATTATATAAAAGTCTTATTTAATAATTTAAAAAAAACATGTGAGTGTCGTGGAACACTCGGTTTGAAACGAAGTTCCAACCGAGTGTCCCACGAAGTGTTCCAAGAAGGAAATACAAATAAATAAATTACCAGCGGCTATTAAAATGAAGCGTCATTTAAAATAATTTTTCTTTCATGGCAAGATAAGATAAAGTGCGAAGGAGATGGATATTATTCCATCTCGCTCGCACTATAGAAAGGGGTTCGTGACGGAAAAATCTTACACTTTTTCTCGCCTAGCCCATCTGTTAAATTTGTACCGTGCGATTAAGAACTTCGTTCCAAAAATTAATACATAAGAAACTTTATCATTCACGATGTGCGAGTGTCTAATGTATCACGGAGGTGTTTTGGATAAAAAATTTGTTCACGCCCAAACGTTGGTTTCAAGACTTGAAACCAACTTAATACAGTGCTGTCGAGAGCACGTCGTGAAGTCGCCCGGGGAACCTCCATTTTGAGAGTCAGTTTTGTTAGCAAATTGTTGCCAAGACGAGGGTTTTTTGTTAAGTCTAGAATTAGAAGCCGGGCTAACAAATTGTTAGGAAGTTAACATTGATTGCGATCAACGTCTGAATTGTTCTAGAAATAATTATTGCCACGCGAAACGGAAGTGACCCTTGATCCGAACATTCGGTATTCGTGTTGTGTGTTACGCTTTATAATAAACGAGTGTTAGTGGCGTCTGGAAGTCAGTTAATTACGGTATAGTTAATAGACTGACATAGTGAAGAAGAAAGAAAGTGACTGTGGGTGACGCCGCCGGAGATTACCACAATTTGGAGCGGTGCCGAAGTCCGGGCTGCTGGCGACTTCAACAGTCCAGTCAGGTCTATCACAACCAACACCACAAAACACCACTATACTTAACACATACACACCTCCGGCCTGACCGAGCCCTGAGACAGCAGTCGCCTCATATACAGGTAAGTAATCTCTATTTGACTAGCCTCCCCATTAAATTGTAGTAGGTTAAAACATTTTCCATATAGCTTAGTATTATAGGAAATTCTTCCATATAGCCACTCGGGCTTGAACCTGCGGCTGCTCGTTGAATCTTACGCGCATGGGCCCCGGGAGATTCGACATTTGCAGGGGCAGCTGTAGGCCGTAACAAATTCTTTAGAGATAAACACCCAAACCACAAACTTGTCGCCAAGAATAGTCATCTGAAATATGCAAGGTTTCAAATAATAATAATGATTGATGTTAAGACCACACCGAAACCGGTTTGCACAGGCGACGATTGCTCTCCCTTCCCCCCACCTCCTCACGTCATCGTCAACTACTGTAGCATACAGACCGCATATTAAATATGTATATTTTATATTCATTATATCCTTCTATTGGTGACCTATGTTTTAAATTATTACACTGGTTAACATATCGTAACAAATGGTCCTCCGAGCCTTCCTGAATATATATCGCTATGGCCGAAATCATAGCTCCGTGCAACAACTTAGAAATATTATCAGATGTTAAAGTAACGCTTATCAATAATATATGAGGTAAACATGCAGTGCTGGATATGGAAGGACAATCCAAAAGTCATTCTGATCCGAAAACAGAATAACTAATTTTGCCCACATGATGGCATATTGTTATTATTATTGCAGGGGTTGGCAAAGTATGGACTGCGAAGGGCTTTAAGCCGTCTATTGCAAATATATTTTGACAGCGTGATCGACACAAAAAGTATACGATAAAAATTGCTATAGTAGCCGCCAAAAGCTGCGTAAAGTAACATAATTAAAGTAAGTTTCTATACTTCAATAATCTATATACAAATAAATAACATTGTCTAAAAATGTCTATTTGTAATGTCAAAATTACAGCTTTTTACTAAATGTATATGAAAGTATGTACGGTACTTATAACAATAAAAACAATTTAAATTTTTTTTGTCTGTCTGTCCGTCTGTCTGTTTATCTGTTTGTTCCAGCTAATCTCCGAAACGTCTAAACCGATTTTGACGGGACTTTCACTGGCAGATAGCTGATGTTATAAGAAGTAACTTAAGCTACTTTTATTTTAGAAAAAGAATTAGGGTTCCGAGCCAAAAAATTAAAATCAATGAAATCCATCGTAATAAACTCCACGCGGCCGAAGTCGCGGGAAGAGCTAGTTTAAAATAAAAGTTTTCGAAGGATCACGCTCGTATAGAACAATGTTTTTTTTAATGAGTTAAGGGAGACAAACGAGCACATAGTCTACCTTATGGTAAGTGAATACCGTGGCTCATAGACATCCACATCTATCCTCGATTAAGAATCAAATTGCAGATGCGTTGTCACCGCTGATATTATTATTGGAATTAATGGGTCTCCGGTTCTCAATACTCACCATACGAAACACAGTAGCGTTAAGATGCTACTTCACGCTGTTATTCTGTGAGAGAGTAATCGTATCTCTATCGAGCTGATCCATTCGTACCACGTCTCTAACATAGCAGCGTGGCTCTAGAGTGGTCCATCCCCGATTGAATGGACCCGTTTATACAACCCTAATATGAAAGAAAGAAGCGTGACCCTAACACGTAAAATTCTGCATCTATAAAATGATATATTCTGCATCTATAAAAATTCACGATACCATCCTCACCATCTGGATGCTTGGCGGTCCACGACTGTGCGTTTTACTAGGAGTTTTCTTCCTCGTAAAACTTCTCTGTGGAATTTTTTACCACAGGCGATTTTTCCGAACCGATACGACTTAGGGACCATCAAGAAAAGAGCTTACACCTTTCTATAAGGCCGACAACGCATCTGTGACTCCCCTGGTGTTGCGGTTGTTCATGGGCAGCGGTAGTCACTTACCATCAGGTGATCCACATGATCGTTTGCCCCCTCTTCTATAAAAAAAAGTTTTGCTGCTATGTTTCGGTAAGTTGTCGGAAAACTGCACTCATTTTACTGGTAACGAGGTATTCTATGTTAGGCCTCAAGGGAGTTTTTTTTTAAATAAAATAGAAGTGACAAGCGAACTTCCAGTCCACCAGATTGTAAGTGAGCTGCTGCAGTCTATGAACACCTGTAGCCAACTTCAAACACACAAGTTGACAGGTACGTTGCCACATATAAGGATTGTGAAGGTATGCCTCACAGTCTGTAACTAAACTGGCTGTTTATTCCTATGTACGGTACATTGCAGTGGTGCACTAATTGGCGACAAAAATAGGGGAAGATCGTCTAATTTAGAACTGAATGCCCCTCTAATGTGTTTACGACCACAAGCATAATAGGTACATGCACCATAAACATAAATTAGTCATCGTCATTAGTCGTTCTTTTACCGTCCTGACACAAAAGTGAGCACGCGTCAAATATAACACATAAGTAAGACCAGTCAAATAGTAATATGGCGGCAGTAATGTGTCTTCTTAACCGAGGATAGATATGTGAGTTTCTATAGGCCACAACATCAACTTAACATAATTTGGACCGTGTGCTCGTTTGTCAAACTTATTTGTATATAAAAAAAAAACTAACCTCTCTTTTTCTGTCAACGGCTTCCCGTATTTGCATAACAATATTCCGACTACCCGCCGAAACGTTCCATCTGCAGAACACGAAATGCAAATAAATTACTGTTAGTTATATTACTATAGCCTGCTGAATATGTGTCCCCATCTATACATATAACTAAAATTGAAGTGTCTGTTAATAATATTGAAATAATTGGCTTCTAATATACTCGTGCTCTAATCCGAAGCTCCGAAAACTTTCAGCTCGACTCACAAAATCGTTTTCAGTACCTAGATGATTGCAATACAGTGGTGGGATATGAATAACAAGCCTGTGGAAACTGTCCATGCGGTCGGAGCTAAATTCTGCAAGACTCTTCGCACAAGAATACAAAAACTCTCCGATCACACTCTTAATCGTATGGCTGTTAGACGGGAAATGAAGTTGCAGTCTTCAGTATATTTGATAGCATACAGGCAACTGAACGGGCAGATCTCCAAACGCGTGCGGCGCGACTTACGCAACTTTAATACAGCTCATATTGAAGAAGTGATCGAGCGAAAGCAGGGCTCCTTTAGAGTCTTTGCCTGAGATCTATCAGCCAGAAATAGCCAACTGTCGAAGCTGAAGACCGAATGTGGCAGCATCGTTTCCGGGACACCTGAGATTTTGAGTGAGATTGAGAGGTTCTATGGGCAGCTGTACATGCCACATACACGAGCTACACGCAAGTGTGAGTAACGATCCAAGAGCAAGTTTTAAAGAACGACCGAATGCACCATAAAATCGGCATTGGCAATTCAGCACCTTAAAAACGGTAAGTCCCCGGGCGAGGTTGGAATTACAGCGGAGCTTCTGAAAGCGGGTGGAAAACCGGCACTTGAAGTCTTTCAGAAGCTCTTTAATTCCATCCTCCATGATGGCACTACTCCGGAGGTGTGGAGCAGAAGTGCGATGGTCATGTTCTTCAAGAAAGGCGACAACGCTCTCTCGAAGAACTACAGACCGATTTCGAGGGAGGATTATGCTTAACAGTGATATTGTGTAGGGCTGTAATGATGATGATGATGGTGAATAAACACAGAAGGATAAATATGCATGCTATTAAGACATAAACAATCAGTTTTAAAATGTTTGTCCGTCTGTCTGTCTGTGACTTTACAAACAGATAGAGAGCAATGTCAGGAGGGATCTAGGCCATAATTTATCCGAAAAACTTAAATATAAATAATAATTATAACTTTTAACAAAATGTAAAAATCGACATCAAATTGCTAAAAAAGAATTTATTTATTTGCTACCTTTAGTAGTGGAATTTTTGAGCCCCTGTAGTGTAAACTATTTAATAAAAAAAAAAACATTAAAAGTGGTTCAAAATCTGTGAAGATTTCGCGTAACATACATACAAAAACATACACTCAAATTGAAAACCTTCTCCTTTTTGAAAATGTAAAAAAAAACGAAATATTGATAAATAAGTGCTCTTTGATTATTTAGGTATCTCAACATTAATAAATCTTTGACACAGCTGAACATAGCCCTCCTTCAAGGAATGTCACAAAACATAACCCTGAGCCACCTGCAATTGACAATTGCCCTAAGCCACCTGCATACATTGACGTCCTTCTTACTAGTTCGGCATTCTATCAAGTCAGGGGCAGCCCTGCGCTTCGCTTACTGGTACGAGGCTGCCACTACAGAACCTTTCTTTTCTATCGGTTGTCGGTGACTCGAGCTGGACCGGTCGAGTTTAATTATTGAAAACAAAATAAGCTAATAGTCAAAACTCCAAATTAATCCACCATTACATACCTGCTCCACTGAAAGTTGTAAGCCCTGGAAAGGAAGGCCATGGCGTGGTAGGTGTGCCGCTCCGCTACCCATTCTTTAGGGCAGCTGCCCTCGATGTGGTTGTGAGCGTCGAAGTCCGGAAAAAAGTCACAGGCCGCTTCTCGCATCAGCTTTAAATAGGTATATTTTGCTTTCTTAGCGACGTGATAGAGCCAGCTGCAGCTATATTAGAATGGGTCGGCTCAACCGGGGTAGGACCAAGCTCTCACAGTATAACTGCGTAAAATAGCATCTTAAGGCTGCTCTGTTTCGTATGGTGAGTGTAGAGTACCGGAGGCTCTTTTTACTGGAAAAGAGGCAATCCAACTTAGCCCTCAGGGAAAACAACGTCTGCATTCTGATTCTCAATCGAGGATACACTTACAATCAGGTGGACTGTGTACTCGTTTGTCACCTCTATCAAAAAGCGATGCCATCCAGTGTAACTCACAGTTTTATTCTGTTTGTCTCAGTTAGGACCCAGTCTGAGTGTGACTAATGTCCAATTTCTATAATGAAGAAACCTTTCGTTCTCCATAATTTTCCATTTTATTACATGAGAGGTGCACGCAAAAACAGCTTATATTACAAATAATTCATTCGGAAACTTAGGATGATTAAAAATGAAAAACTAATTTTAAACGGTTCATAAATATTTGAACAGTTTTCATGCACTTCATTTACTGCAAAACGGCACGTAGAAGAAGACGAAGCGTTTTAAATTATACACATTCGGCATTAGAGTGAAAGGTGGAAAAGACAGCTAATCGCAAACTATACGCTAAATAAAACCGCACCTTGTGATGATGGTAAAATATATTCAAAGTGAAAAATTCATTCAATTTGGATTTGTTTCAAGCTGTAATGAACGGCGAACCTCTCTCCTGGTTCGAAAATTAAGACCTTTTTTTAGAAAAATTGCTAAGCACCTTAAGATTAGGAATAACCTTGAGGTTCTGAGGTCTACTATAGAATGCCATGATACCAGTAAAAAGGGTCTTCAGTTATCTATACTCACCAAACGAAACACAGTAGCATTAAGCTGCTATTTGACGTCGGTATCCTGTGAGAGCGTGTCTCTTTATCGGTCTTAATTTCGGCCACGGCCGCCAATCTCAACGGAGACTAGTTATCTCCGCAGGACAGGATTATAGTAGCCGAGTGTAAGCGCAAGCACAGGTGCACTCTTTATTCCCTCACTCTCATACCGTCGCTGCGCCTGACAAGTTCCATAATATGTAATATTTGTAAGGTTTTGGAAAACAACAAAAAGCGTGTTATTGAATAAAAAAACGGAAACACTGCAAAATTATTAATGCAATATGATAGACATTTATTTGAGACATATTAGAAAGATGAACATGGACAAAACAAAAGTCATGTGTAACGTCCATGTCACACCCATACCAACTTCCAACTTCCAACTTCGACCGAGAGGTCAATGAGGACACAGCTCGGCTGGGCAGCATTCGGGAAATTACGACACATCTTCTCTTTAGGTATACATCAAAACTTAAATACGAAATTGTACAACTAGTGAGTGTTGCTAGTGATGACTTATGGATGTGAGTCGACGTGGTCCTTCACTGCTGGCCGTATGAGTAAGCTCAAAGTCGCTCAGCGAGCTATGGAGAGAGCTATGCTCGGGGTTTTTCTGTGTGATAGCCTTAAAAACGAGAATATCCGCAGTAGAACCAGAGTAACCGACATAGCCCAACGGATCAGTATGCTGAAATGGCAATGGGCCGGCCATATAGCTCGAAGAACCGACACCCGATGAGGAAGAAAGGTTCTCGAATGGCAGCCTCGTACCGGCAGGTGAAGTGTAGGGTGTCCCACCAATCGATGGAGTGACGACCTACTAAGACATGCAGGAGGTCAATGGATGCAGGTCGCTCGGGACCGTGCTTTGTAGCAATTCTTGGAGGAGGCCTATGTTCAGCAGTGGACCTGTGTAGGGCTGTAATGATGATAGACAAAAAGATATAGATAGATAACTTGGTAGGTAATTTATTTACTAAGTTCGGAATTGTTATTCTTTGACAGAATTTGATTTAATAACTTTCGAAACAGTGTTTGATTGTGGAAAGGCTACGAACAGACGCTGCTAGTATAGAAGTATTATAACAAAGGCTCGTGCTGTTGACGAACAGGTAAGATTGTTTAATTCACTTCTTGTTCAACTATATGATGCACATGCTCCTGTTCGTCCAATTCATCATTCAAGTACGTCATCCCCCAGCCCCATGGTTGACTGAAGCTCTTAAAATATTGATAGGCAAGAAGAATGACTCAAAGTCACGATACAGATCAGACCCAAAGAATGACAGGATTCGGGAGAAGTACAGACTCCTGCGGAATAAATGCAACACGATGTGTAGAGATTTAGGACGCCGCCAGATTCATAAATCAGCACAAAACGAAGATCCATGTCTCGTTGGGAACTTCTTAAGGTCCACAGCAGTTAGTGAAACACGTGCACGCTCTGTACCATATAACGTCGATTTAAATTGATCAGCATTTCTCATCTGTTCCTTGTTTGAATAATATTGCAAAATCAACAACACTTACTCAACTTTCATCGTTTTCCATTATGACTTTTATTCATTTGTGTTTAGGCAATTTGCAAATTGTGATGTTAGGAGACATATATTTCATATCCATTTTGACGGTGTCGGAAGTTATTACGTCATTCGTACGTACCTTTATCTTAAATTTTTCCATATCATCATCCTCTTTCCCTTCCCAATGGAGGACGCCGAAATAATATTTTTAGTTACTATTCAAAAAATTCAGTTTCAAATTTACTATCGTTGTCTTCGTATGTGCAAACCGTATTATTATTTCAGTCTAGTATCCCTATCTTTTCATCGAGGTAGTATCTTTATTGAATTTTTGAACACAATAAAAGTGGTCAGTACATAGTGAATTTATTGCATATATTATACACTGTTACTGTGTTTTGACTCCTAAAATTATTTTTATTATGTTGTTTACGCCACATTGCTTACATCGATAACACACTTGCATTTCTGCACGTACGAATTTTCTTAACGGTCAAAATACATATGGAATTTGTTAGAATCGTTTCTAGCTCGAACATTACCAAAATAACTTTATCATGATTTACAGAACGAAATGGAGATTATATTTAGTGCAAAAAACAAAAAATTTAAAATACACATATGGAATTTGGTAGGCGCAGCGACGATAGTGCTATGGGACGATTATCATACACCGCCGGAGAGAGATCAGACGCAGGACTAACAGCTTTACAGCACATTCCGAGGCACGAGGTGTAACACCGCCGACTTTCTGACTCTGGACTGCTGGATACTGAGAATTTCTTCTCCGAAAAACCTAATAAGTGATTTCAACCCAATCCGGGATTTGAAACCGGTCGCGTTTATGAGGCCAAAAAGGCAGTCAATACTGCAATCATAAAATTACTAACACAACTCATAATTAAAAGTTGATCTGGGGAACCTGTATCATTTTCTTCACGCTGTAGGGTTTTTCGAAATGTTCCGTGAGAGCCGGCGTAGTCGCGTTCGCTATCCAGCGCAGCCTCACTGTGTTCCCTACGCACAGCCATGTTGCAGTCACGCAGACACCCGTAACACTTATTATCACACCTGGACTGTAAATAGAAAGTAAATAATAATCTATATATAGTATAGTTGTAGCACGAATGGATCGGTTCAATCAGCAAAGGACCACACTCTCACAGAATACCAGCGTGAAATAGCAGCTCAATACTGCTTTGTTTCGTATGGTAAATGTCCATCTTAGTCCTTAGGGGTGGCAACGCATTTTTGGTTCCTAATCGAAGATAGATGTCTATGGGCCACAGCATCCACTTACCATCAGGTAGACTGTGTGCTCGTTTGTCACTCTTATTCTGTGAAAGAATAAAAAAAAAAACACACATGCCACTGCTGGGCATTGGTCTCATCTAATGTTATATAGGGTTATTAAAATCCCCCACAAAGTTCATTACCAACGTCACCAGCACTCCAAATTGCGACCAAAAATTTATGTGGGTGCTGGCAGAGATTGAAATTTCTGGGCCCGCGAACTAGATACCCATTTCTAGCCTTAGATATCATGGCTTATAATAGTCCTAGAAGAATGTTTCCTTTATCTTCTTTTTCTTCTTCTTCATCAGCTCGTAAGAATCCACTGCTGGAAATGGACTTCTTCCGTTGTAGGGAGGAGGATTATACTCTTGGCAGACGAATTGACAATCGCGGTATCAGACGCCTCGCATCATTGACGTTCCTGTCCGTTGCTGGGTAGTTTTTTACGAATACTAGGAACAATATATATTTTTCTGTATCGTGGATGACGTTAACGTACATAAATTGAACAAGAACAACCAGACAGACACGGGACAATTATTTGTAGGCCATGCGAATACATGCATTGTGCGGGAATCGTAAAGTCCGCGGGCCCACAGCGCCGCTATCAAATGCTTAATATAATTAATTTATCTTTGATGTTACCGCAAAGAGAAATTATAGTAGTTATTATATAATACGCTACTTCTCATTATTGAGAAATATCTTTATTTTGTATAAAATTAAGTGTTTATTAAAATAAAAGCTGTTTTCAAAGAAGTAAAAAGAAAAAAAATAGTTCTTAATAATTAATTTAGTTGTAGTAATTAGAGATGTGGTAGCTCAGGGACTAAGCGCTCGCAGTAAACACAGTACGCGAGCAACCCGGGTTCGATCCCCGCCGACACCAATGGAATTGTTATTTGCAATTTTAAGTCCTGATTTATTGGCGATCTGTTCTCTCTGGCTACCCCGTCAGGGATTGTGCGTGAAGATAAGTAAGTAAGTAAGTACGTCCTGATTTACAAAGTGCTCGGCGTTGAAGGAAAACATCGTGAGGAAATCTACATGTCTGAGAAATAAGAAATAAAATATTTCGAAGGCTTTTATTCTAAAGAAATGAGAATTATTCTCTAATCTCAGAAATAAGAGGAGGCTTGTGCCTGTAACTTTAACTTTTAACTTTTAGTTTCTATAGTCGGTGCTAAAAATGGAATTAAATTATATAATTATAAAATAAAATAAATGATAATAAAAAATAAAAGACAAAAATAAAACCCTGACTTTAAAAGCTATTATGTGGATATCATTTTATTCTTTTTAGTTCTTTGAAGTCGGCTTCTACTTTTTTTTAATTAAAAATTTATGTTTTTGAACCTTTTGAGTTGACTAAAGAATAGTTACACTGAAATTTTACCCTCTATTTTTCCTTCCCTAAGGGGTGGTAGTTGTTCCCTAAATATATAGGACCACCTCTAAAGTATGCCCTATTTAGTACAAAAATAATGTTTGAAACATCACAACTCACCAAAACATCATGTAACGTGTTAAAACAATGCAGTCTGACTGAGAACCTCCTTGTTTTTTAAATCCCGCTAAAACCAGGAACACAAAAAATATTTTTTTATAATCCTCCATTTCTCACCTGTTGGGGTCCGGTCGAATGTCCCAACCTTGAAAAGGCATGTTACTATATCTTAAAGTTGCGATGCCGATTGGCCCTGAAATTATAAGAACAGTAATTATTTATACATTTACTCGTAATGCACACGACCACATCAGTTTGCGTACAGCCTTAGTCATGGGTTTGTTTCATAGGGATGATTCTTAAATTCAAGTTAGTGTGTAAACGAACACAAAGTCCACCTGACGATAAGTGGACGTGGATAAGTGAAGTGAAGTGAAGTGGGTTTATTTTTATCTATACTTATAAATAAAACGATAGAGGTTTGCAGTTGTGCGCGCATCACGGAAAAAACTACTGGATAGATTTCAATACGGTTTTCAAAGTTTTATTTCTTAAACACTTGGCCCTTATCAAAAATAAATATTGCGATATCTTCATTTAATATAAAGTTATTAAAGTTTTAAGAAACAACGATTTGTTTTCGGGATTTTTCACACGGTCTACTTACTGTACGTTGCTTGCTCTTGCATTACTAACCGATATAATTTATATATTTTAGCTACAAATGGAGCAACGAATAACATTGTTAACAAAGAAATTTTGTATGCGATCTTTTTGATGTTTTTTCCTTCGCACATACGAAAACTTTGTTAAGGCCTTAACAGTGGTTGAAATGCCTAAATCTAGGATATTTAAGTAAAAAAATCTCAATAACTGTTCATTTAATCCACAAAGAAAAAATACAGGGTAACAGAAGAAGATTTGGTAAATGTGTTTAATTTAACAAAATTGTATTTTTGTCAACCCCTTATCAGAAAAAAAATCCCCAAAGAGTACCTATCTTTGTCATATTTTGCACAATTTCTCCAAAACGGCACAAGCTTTTTAAATAGTTTTTACACTAAAAAAAAGGTCTTAAAAATATAAATATTTTTAATTGAGAGTTTTATTTTTATTACCCGTTTTATAAGAGAATATATCATTTTTCCCTGAAATTGAATATATTTACGCGAGCGCGCATGCTCCGTCGTCATGTAAGCTCTGTCACAGTCCGTTTTCGGACGTCGTCGAGGGTGGACCGCACGTCGGTGTTGGAGCGACTTCGTTCAAATATATATTAGTTTTTTAAAAGTTTATACTCAATTATAAATATTTTTATGACTAGAAATACTTAATTTAGTTAATATCTGTACACTGGTAACTGTAAATATTATTTTCTAAATAAATGAATTTTTAAAGTGCCCAAAGAAGAAAAAATTTTTGCGGCGACGTTGATTAGTGAAATTGAAAAATGCATTTTTATATAATTTAGATGTGGAACGACGAACATGCTCTCGTTACTTAGATTGCGATAGTTTTTAATACCTATGTAATTTTATTGTTGCATATTTTTATTAATTAGTTGATAATGAATTTTATAATTATGTATTACAATAAAACGCTGTTTTTATAAGTATGACTTTATAAAATATTATTGGGGAGAGAAATAAAGATACAGATACTTACATTTAGGTACACTGTTATCAAATTAAATCAAACAATTTAAATAAATAAAAGAATGGTGCTTACCTAAGTATAAATAACTATATAAAGACATTCTTGGGTTTATGGTTTTTTTTTGTTAGACAAACTATCATCTAAAAAATGTAAAAATTTTAAATTGGAGAGGGGTTTCTCTACGTGATAAAGTTAGAAATGAAGGTATTTGCATTAGAACCAGAGTAACTGACATAGCTCAACGGAATATTACAGTGAAATGGCAATGGGCTAGCTATATAACTTGGAAAACATAAAAAATAGGAAGAAAGGTCCTCGAGTGGCAACCTCGTACAGTTAAGCGAATTAGTACTCAACCTTTATTCCTCTTCACGTATTCTCATACGCTTTTCTTCACACATACACACACACACACACACACACACACACACACACACACACACACACACACAAACACAAATATGTCGCAAATAATACTTACCTAGTACTATTAGGCAAGAGTGAATAGGTTTTTGTTAAGTCAGTGCAATTCACCATCTTAGACTACATAACCACTTACCGATGGGATTGTAGTTGCTTTACTACTTGCTGGGTAAAAATAGTAAAAAAAAATTTACCCTGTGAAAGTTTGCATTTAGATATAATTTTTCTAACCAACCATAAAAATATGATGAGAATATGTATATAAGTATAAAGGTTGCCTCACACGGAACAGTAATAATATAATATTATATCTTCCATTATCTCTGAAATCCGAGGTATGTTCATATTAAGAGGCTGAATAGAGCCACATTGAAATGCATGGGGATGGTTTTGTAATTTCACGTCATTATCGAAAAAGAATTGTACGTATTTTAGGTGGCGGTTTGCAAAACACGATTCCACAAAAAATAACTCAATAGAAAATAATTGCAAAGTTGCTTCTAAAAATACTTAAATTTTCAACGTCAATTTTTTTTACGTGGTAGAGCCATGCTACAGCTATATTTATTAGGTATAGTTGTAGCACGAATGGGTCGGCTCGACCGGGGAAGGGCCACGCTCTCACGGAATAACATGTAAAATAGCAGTTTAACCCTGCTGTGTTTCGTATGGTGAGCGTAGAGAACCGGAGGATCTTTTTACTGGAAACGAGGCATTACATCTTAGTCCTCACGGGTGACAACGCATCTACATTTTGATACGTAATCGAGGATAGATGTAGATGTGTATGGGCCGTAGCAACCACTTACCATCAGGTGGACTGTGTGCTCGTTTGTCACCCTTATTCTATTTTAAAAAAACTTTCTGAGATTTCAGTAAAATAATGTTAAGTATTGTAAGCACTCGTACAATTATGTCTCATGTTAATAAAGCTATTGGGCTATTTTGATTTGTAATAAAGTGATTTTACTTTATAGGTTAAATAATTTATTTACCTTTCTATATCAAGAACCGTTTTTCTGTCACTCCTATTGAATTTGACAGTGCTTGCTGAAATTTAGGATCTTTAGATGGATCAGAATCGCCCGCTGATCCGGCTGTTAGATATTGCAAAAATAATCGAAAATATTTATTTTTACTTTCATGCCCAAGACTACCTTGTTTTATTTTATTACGGTCAAATAATATTTATAAGGTTATAAAGCAAGTATTTTTGTAAATGTTTTCTATGTAGATGTAAATGTTTTCATTATTTTGTTATTCTATTGTCTACAGTTATTATCACGTCTTAGCTTTACACCAAGAATTACATTAGAAATTCTTGATGGGATGCGATGTAACGCGCATACATTATTTTCATCAAGAACTATTATATATATATATATATATATATATATATATATATATATATATATATTTGTTTTTTTTTTACCAGTAGAGTTGCAACAAAATCTTAAAAAAGTTCAATGAATTAAAAAATGCCAATAATTATATAGTTTCAAGTCAGTGTTTTACATTTAAAGATCAGTTATAAAGAGCCAATGTTATTATTTTCATTTTGATTAATTTAATTCGAGACTAAAATAAATGTGAAAGGGCTTTTATCTGCAATAATAATTTTCATCAAAAATAACATAGACTTATAAAAGTCAATCATAGTGAAGATTATCAATTGTACTACAAAATATTTAAAATACTATTTCCAGTATAATGACCCGAATATCATCATTAATGTTTGACTGGCACACTTAAAAGTTTTATCACATTGCTAAATGATTGACTTTTATATTAAGATAAGGTCATGCTTTTCTATAAAAAGTTGAAATTTTAATTCCCGGCCCTATTGGTTTGTTTTACTTTTTACTTAATTAGTGAAAAACAAAATGGACTGATCTAAAAGTTTACTTTCTTGTGTAAAAAGTGCTATTTAGAATTTTATGCAAATGATAATTAAAGTTTCTATGTAAGTAAGTGTAACATAGCGGGAATTATATTCAATGGTAGCGGCCATCCGTATTTGCAAAGCCAGCATCATTTTCTGTACAGAAACCGGCAAAGTGTTGCTCAAGGCACTATAAACAAAGCAGCTGATAAAATGTTACACTCATAACTGTTAACAAAAACTGTTTTCCCAAATGGTCTTATAGATAATAATAACTATTCCGCCGTGTTAGGTGCATATTATTAAAAGAAGAAGAGGTAAAATTTTGTTTTAGAAATGCGCAATCAATATTCCTTTGTCTGCAATTGAGCATAAAATAAAAAATAACTTCAGCCAAAGAGCATAACTGGCATTATACTCAGGCCCATCAATTGGTATGGAAAAAAGTAATTTTACCAGGCTTCAAAATATCAATCAAAATTAAAAAAACATAAATATTAAAATCAAAAAATGTATATATGTATGTCTATACATACATATAATGATTTATGGCCGCTTAGTAACTGACGGTGACTCCTACAGTCACGCTGAAACTAAGAGGAGAGAATCACTGTAGAAAAGGTAATAATTTATTGCGGAAATTTTGTGATAAAATTAAAAAAAATATAAACTTATCCAAGTTAATCTAACTTAGTCTAATTTATCCTTATGCGTACAAAAAAAAAACAAATAATAAAATAGTGAGATGGCGTCAGTTTTTAAGAAGATATAACAAAAATAAATAAAAAAATAAATTTCAAAAAGTTCAGTATTTAATTGATTATATACCGCTGACACTTAATCACGCTTTTCGAAACCACGCCAGTTGTAAACAATACTTGTGTGAAAAGACAAAATCTTCTTTTCAAATATCCGCCGAGTTGTAAGTAGAAGGCCAAATAGGTCACGTGTCAATTTTAATGAAATATATTTTATATGAAGTGATCTTGACTACGTTTTATCAATTAATCATTGGTAAAAATTAAAACAGGAATTTTACGATTGTGTTTACAAAAAACATTATTAGTTGAACCTTGCAGCTTGTTCATTATTTATAAATGTTTATTTTGTTATAAATGTATATATTCCTAATAAATAGTTCCCATAATATATTGGATTATTTTTTATTTTGCCGTATCTGCAATGTTCTACGCTCTATAGAAAATGTGGCGTATGACATGACTGACAATCTTTCGAACGTTTTATCTAGGTACAAAGATGTTTTACGTTTTCGTCGCCTCCACATGATATTTTTGTCAGCATAAGGTACCCTTCTATATCTGAAACGAATATAAATATTGCTACAAAGTAAAGTAATAGGCTATACAAGTCCCTATACTGGGCACAGGACTCTTTTTTTATTTCTGAGAGGGTTTTAGGGCAAGGAAATGCCCGCCGTGCTTCCCCAATGCGTGTTGACGAAAATTGCAATTACAAATTTCATTCGTGCTGTCGGGGATCAAACCCGGGAAAATTTACAGCGAACGCTTTGACGACATATTTTTAATACGACACAAATAAATACGATTTAACATATATAATAAAAATTCTTACGTACTTGAAACTTGAACACTTGATAGCTCGTGATGCCTACCGGACAAAGCTACAGCACCACACCGTGCAATGTACGTAATTGAAGATGCGTAACCGCGACATAATTCTCAGTGATGCGCAAGCATGACAGGCAGTATGTCACTTATATAATTGTCATCTCTGCAGTCTATTAATCTTTGCACTTTTATAAGTAATACAGAACGTAGTTGCTAGACGGTGTTGACATCGGCTAAAATCTCTGCGATCGCCGTTTCGTCAAGGTCATTCAGGCTAGTTAAAGCCTTAATATATCAAGCAATGCGGACGATGTCATCGGTATCAGTTAGTACTCAATACTGGAGATGACGGATGGAGGTATTCAATTGACTGTTTTTTTTTTATGTGTTTTACCTCATTACTTTTTTCTCGGTGAACCGATATCGTTGATTCTTATTTTCTGCCGACTTCCAAAAAGGAGACGGTACTCAATTCGACACGTATGTTTTTTTTTATGTGTGTTACCTCATAACTTTTTACTGGGTGAACCGATTTCGATGATTCTTTTTTTATATGAAACCTGATACTTCTCGTGTGGTCCCATATGAATTTGATCCAGGTCAGACCAATAGTTTTTGAGTTATTCTTAATAACTTATATCGAAGTCGGCTGTACAAAATTTTTAAATTTAAATTATTTTCTTCGCACATACGAAAACTGATAATATATCAAGAAATGCGGACGATGTCGCCGGTATCGGCTAATACTCAATACTGGAGAAGACGGATGGAGGTACTCAATTCGACTGTAATTTTTTTTATATGTTTTATCTCATAACTTTTTTCTCGGTGAACCGATATCGATGATTCTTTTTTTATTTGAAAGCAGGCGCTTTTCATGTGCTCCCATATACATTTGATCAAGGTCTGACCTGTATTGAGTTAATCTTAATAATTTATATTGAAGTCGGTTGTACAAAATTTTTATTTATACTACCACTTGTTATAAGACTAAATTGACAAACAAACTTTCAGTCCACCGGAAGGTAAGTGGCAACTGCAGTCCACCTCACTGGCACCAACTTCTGAGGAAAAAGGTACATATGCATTGTAACCTTTGAGGACTAAAGTGGAACTTTAGTGCCTGTAATTATATCGAATCTTTATACCCTGCAGACCGGAACATAGCAGTACATGCACTGTTACTTGTTGGTACAAATAGGTGTAAGGTCCCCGGTTCCAATTGCGGATTTACTCTAAAATCATTTATTAGGTTTGTCAAGGCATTTTCAAAAGCAACCCGGAGTCAGCACGTTGGCAGCTTTTCACTCCGACCCTCGGTAAGCACTTAAAGCCGCTGCTCTTGTATCTGATCTCTCTCTGGTCGTGATGATTGCAGTCGCACTGGACTATAAAAGTGAGAGAATAGAGAATTCACCTGTCCTGGCGCATACACTCGGGCACTATAATCTTGTCATGCGTAGATGGCTATACTAATGTTAAAAATTCGCTGCTGCTGTTAACAATAAAATGGGGTAAAAGAAGAGAAGTACGCCGTCTGTTGCGCTTTGCGCTCTCTGTCGCACTTACGTACGTACGTAAGGCTCCTTTGAGACTGGCCGCCACAGAGTACATTATATATAGGGAATAGAGTCATCACTTAGAATCGTAGCATTAGCGCCATCTAGCGATATACGACGTCCCTACAGCCCAGCGACGACGAAGGATGCTCTATATTACAATATTTATTATTTATTTTCAAAGTAATTTCCAAAAGTCAAACCATTTTAATATTGATTTGGCTTTTGGAAATTACTTTGTATACAATATAATTCAGGAAAATAAAACAACTGTTTAGCGGTTGGATGTTTTTTTATAATGCTTCCTTTTATTATAATAGTACACAACAACTTCTCTCAAAAGAAGCCACAATCCAGGTCAACAGAGCACAAATAGTTAAGCAAATCAAGGTCCAGAGTTTCATGCGTAAGTGCAACGAAAAAGGCGAAGTCTTCGGAGTCCGGGAATCAAGCAAAGTTGTTAGTTTTATAAACACAAACAGAGCACATTCACAAACCGCGAAAGGAAATGTAATGACAAACAGACAAATTAAATTACGTTAAATGAAGTTACTAGTGTAACATAGACAGACCGAAATGACCATAGATCTCTCCCTCCGGCTCTTGCCATAGATAAACGAAGAAAACAATTTGCAACGGCGAAATCATAATAATTCACTTGAAATAAATGTAAAATAAATAAATTACACTAAAAATTTAATAAAAAATTTGTTTTGTAACAAAATAGTAAGTTAGTAAGGTTCGATTATATTTTGAACTATTCATTAATTTGTTTGATTCCTCATTGGCCTAGCATGGCTAAATTTAAAAAAAGCGACATCTACTGCAACATGGACAAACTGTCTTGACATATTAATACCTCTATAAGAAAAATTATAGTGTGGACTGTTATGCCACTGCTGGCCGCCGTTACGGAAATTCGGTTTGGAGGACATTATTATTTATTATTAATATTGATATTTTCGTTCATGCGTATTATGTCGACGAATATAAATATTCCATCCAAAGAATCCATCACTCACTTTCGAATTATTGATTAAAACTTTTTGACTACAATATATCCTCCAGACCGAGTTTCAGTCATGGCGGTCTATCTCAACGGACACTAGCCGTCTGCGCGGGACTGGTTTATAGTGCCCGTGTGTATGCACCAGTATGCACAAACACAAGTGTACTCTCTATTCCTGATTCCAGGCTGCTACTGAGAATTTCTTGACAGAGAAATCCAATAACTGATTTTGGTCTGACCCGGGATCCGAACCCAGGACCTCTTCATCAGTAACCACATAATTACGGACGTAAACTAGACCAACGAGGTAGTCACTATATGAAGTATAGAGGATCGAAGACAACAATATCTTCTTCTTCATGATTACCTCCATGGTGTTCTGGGACTTGTATGTCCCATATTTATGTGGGACTTAAATATAACTAAAATATTTCTATTAATAGCGTAAGGGTGACAAACTGGCACTCAGTTCACCTGATGGTAAGCGGATACTGCGGCCCATAGACATCTACATCTATTCACGATTCAGAAAGAATGCAGATGCGTTGTCATCCTTGAGGGGTAAGATGGAGTACCTCGTTTACAGTAAATAAAGTATCCGGTCCTCACACATACGAAACACAGCAGCATAAGTTGCTATTACGCTGAAATTCTTTGAGAGCGTGGTCATTCCCTGGTTAAGCCAAACCATAACAACATAACCAAGCCAACATATATAGCACGTATACGTATTTGCTTTGCTAAAAGTATGTTCCAGGTGTAGTACTTTAGGGTTGTTTTTGCCTCTAGCATTCTCGCAGTGCTATCACTGTGTTTCGTGAACACTTTGAGTCATTATTCTCCTATTGATATCCTTACTATTGAAGTCCTATGTCAAGTAATCGTCATATAAAATCTGGTTAAGAGAACTCCTCACACAACACTCCAGTCCTGAACTGCACGGTGAGTTTGTCTTCGTTGAATTTGTAATCGTTGATATAGGTACTGATCCACAGTTGACGCGGTTCATACCATTGGCAGATTACCGGTGGTTCAGACCACATCACGTCCTGAGGCAGCCTAAGGATCAAAAGAGAAAGAAAAAATCAAATTGCATTGTGTTGCTAGAAGAGTTGGCGTGGGTCCCCAGTGAAAACCGGCCTGCAAAGCATGTGGCGTGGTAGTTTTCCCATACAATTCTAGAGGGCACCACTTACGACAGTAAGTAGTCACAGACAATCTCAACCCGAAATTTAAACACCGCAATGTGAAGATTTGAGTCGCGAGCGTGTTAAACAGGTTTAAATTACATACTATATACGTATACATCCCACTCCTGGGCACAGGTTTTCACTCTCGTTTCTGAGATGATTTCATGGCAAGGAAGTGTCCACAGCGCTGCCCCAAAGCGTCTTGGCGCACTTAAGATGTATACCGTTACCGTAACATCCTATTAAAGTTCACAGGCTGTAATTTGCTACAGTTGACACGCTTGGTAAGCGGGCTCGCAACCGCAGGTTTTTATTTTGTCTTTATTAGGAAGACGCCGTTGCCAATCTTCTGATTTCTTTTTCTCTGTCACCTCTCACGACACCTTCGGGATGATATGGGGCAGTGGATATTCTTACACCGCCACAACATGGGATGAAATTTCATTATAAAATAGAAAATAAATATGTTTTGTAAGATTTATGTCCGTTTTAAATTTATACACGTGGTAGAGCGATGTTACAGATATATTAGTAATATAGTTGTAGCACGATTGGGTCGGCTCGACCGGGGAAGAACCGCGCTCTCACAGAATACTAGCGTAAAATGGCAGCTTGACAATGCTGTGTTTCGTATGGTGAGTGTAGAGAACCAGAGACCCTTTTTACTGGAAAAGAGGCATTCCATCTTAGTCCTCACGGCTGACAACGCATCTGCATTTTGATTCTTTATGAGGATAAATGTAGATGTATATGGGTTACAGCTACCACTTACCATCAGGTGGCCTGTGTGCTCGTCTGTCACCCCTATCCAATAAAAAAACCTGATCGGCTTGTGTGCAGTATCAATGTTTAATATTGTATTTTATGCACATTTTCTTATCTTTATTATATCTTTTAAAAGATAATTGGTTGCTGTGGCCCATAGATATCTACATATATCGATTATAAATCAAAATGCAAATGCATTGTCACCCGTTTCCAGTAAAAAGAGTCTTCGGTTTCCTAGACTTACCATACGAAACACAGCAGCGTTAAGCTGCTATTTCACGCTGGTATTCTGTGAGAGCGTGGTCTTTCCCGATTGAACCAACCCATTGATATATTATTATACATTCATATACTATACTACAAATGTAGCTGCAGCATGGGTCTATCACGTAAAGGTAAAATATGCCCCGTCCACACATTATTTCTTACGCAAAACATGAACTGTGAAGTGGGTCGAAATAGAACTCTATTCTATTAAGCTATCCCGGCTTGATATCACAAGTTTCCGGCGTTCTGGCTTTGGAATAAACTAGTTCTGTTAACAAAGGAAGGAATTACTCGCTGGCTTATTTAATGTCACTTCTTAAATTTATTCATTTATTTTGGGCTATCAAATATTCACTACTGATCAAATGCCTATTCCATAGATTGCCTCACAGTTTGAGGGGGATGCTTGTATCATCGCTTACAACACCTACGGTGTGACGAATTGATTGAAGAAAATTTAAATTAAAGTTGATGTTATACGTACTCTATAAATACTAGTGCCAGTTTCTCGTATTCTGCCTCCACTTTCTTTATTTCAGCTTCAATCTCTTCGGGCGTCCGAGTTACACCCGGCGGTGGTGGCGACGGTGCACGGTACTGTACCTTGTACTTCATGTGCTGTAGCTGCTTGGGCAGTTGTACTGGAACAAGCGAAGATATTGTCATGCTGTAAAAGATATTATCAAAAAAAAATCATTTATCGAAATAATGGTGAAAAACGAGCACCCAGTTCATTTGATGGTAGTGGACGCTGTGGCCCGTAGACATCTACATATATTTTCTATTAAACTGCTATTTCACAGTGATGTTCTGTGCGAGCGTGGTCTTCATGGTCGTGGTCACGGTCGATGCGACCCAATCGTACTGCAGCGTGTTAATAATGCTACCATTATTGAACATGGTACCTATGTGTAATAGATATCAAATATCTAATATTTTGTATGCGGTGTTTACATTCATTAGCAAGCATTACCTATTATTAGTAGTACCTGACCAATTTGTGATAAGTTACTTATGATAAATCACTTTTATCACTTCCTGCTTTTATATTTATCAAAGCAATTTTATAAAACCATTTGTCATTTGCTTAATTCGTACACTATAATATATTGCGTTAGTTATTTAATCTTAATTATTAACATCTTAATAAATAGGGTAACAAAGGACGGACTTAATGCGTAACGGAATTCTCTACCAAACAACCCGTGGAGTGATGACGTTTTGTGTCAGGTGCAATTATATACAGGTTGGCCAAATAAGAAGTATACAACTTATTTTATAAAATTTACTAAAAATTAATTACAAGGCATTAAACTTTATTTAGGCTTGGCAATTACGCGTGGAAATCATCTGCAGGAATGAAAGAAGAAAAGAAGGAAAGAAAGGAACCAAACCTCTAGCAGTATGATAGATGTGAGCTCTTTTCATTGGGTTTCTCATCACATTTTTCATCAACGCTAACTGCGGCTCGGATATTCTGTTTTAAATGTTGAAAATTTATCAGCTTGTTAGCATAGACACATCACTTTAGACATCCCCATGGAAAAAAGTCAGGAGCTGTCAAATCCGTTGATCTCGGGGGTCAATAACACCATTTCTTGAAATTAATTGATCTGAAAACATTCTTCCCAATGTTTCGATTGCGTCGTGCCGTATGATATGTGGCCCTGTCTTGTTGGAACCACAAAACTATCTCACAGTCACGATCTCTATTCACCGTTACGGCAGTACGGATGCTGCAGTAACGGTGAATCATCTTCAAAGAAGTAGGGTCCAATTGCACCTCCTGACCAAATTTCACACCAAACTATTACTCGACTTGGATGCAGTGGACGTTCATGGATCTACGAAGGCTGTCCGTCGCTCCAATAGTGCGAATTGTATTCATTGACAAATCCACTGAGGTCAAAATGGGGTTCATCACTCATATTGATCATTTGATGAAAATCTGGGTCGCTTTCCAATTTGGTCAGCATAATACAGCTGAAGTTACGACGGCGTTCATGGCTCCGAGGCTAAGTTCTTGAGTTATCTGAACCTTATGTGGGAACAGACCCAGGTCTTCTTTCAGAATAGCCTGAAGATAGGTCTTCTTAATTTCCAGTTGTTGAGTACGTCGCATGGTAAACAATGTCACACACATGTGTACACAAATGTGTACACTTTCACGAAAACTTTCAATATTCTGTCCCGTACGAAATCTTCTAGCACGATGAGGTACTGATTTATTTGTTACAATGCTATGCTGCTCAAATTTATCTATCAAACGAGTTATTGTTAGCTACGAAGGTAAGCGATTTCTACCGTAAAATAATCGCAATATTCTCAGCGTTTCCGCAATAGAAGATTGATTTGAGTAGAACGTTTGGATGATGAAAACATGTTCCGCAACCGAAAAACGTACCATATCGAGTTTACTTTAGTTGCACAAAATAATTGTTACCGAACAACTGTCAAATTTGCCGCTAAAACAAAATGCCAGCAAAAAAAGTTGTACACCTCTACGTTGGCGACCCCATATATATATATATAGATATTATATACTATGATATACATATACTATACAAAATCTATGCATATGTATGTTAATATATAAACAAAACATGTTTAATGTAATATTATATTATACATATACATATATTAAAATTGTAAATAATAAAACATCTAAATATAGCATCACTCTTAACGTCCTACATCGCTTTGATTCTATAAGAAGTCATGTACCAACTTCTTAAAAAAGCAGCGGCGCTTTTCTTACGTTTTCGGCCAAGGAGTTCCCGCGCAGTGTTGCCTAAATAGTAAAGGAATTGTGGGTAAACCCAGTGAAATGAGATGGAATGCTAATCTTATGATTAGATGAGGAGCGAAGAGCCTTATCATTACTTAAAAAGTGATACTGGAATTTGTCCTTGAGATATGTCAAACAAGTTGGATTATTCAAAATTGAGTAAAATACAAGCAGAGTTCTAGAGTTTCGTATTTGTCGGCTAGTGGGCCATTTCAGGCGATCACGATAACGGGAGATGTGATCATATTTTTGGAGAGCAATTAGATATCTAATACAATTATAAAGAAGACATATGAATAATCAACAATGGACATTCTAAGTTTGTACAAGTGTAAGCTTAGTCGTGGCAGGAAGAAAGTTCTTCAGACGATAGAGAGATCGTAAGGGTGTAATTGTAGGTAATTTCGATGACATACGTACTACAGTTCATTGTGTTGTCTATTGGCCAAGATTTTAACAGAGGAAGACAAAGATATCAGTATATCACTGTAATAGACAGCAGGTAGGCTTGCGAAATCAATTTTGGACAACATTCATGAGCTACTTACGAGTATAGCTAGACATTTCATTGGATTAACTGATACACCAAAACGCTTAGAGCCTAAACCATTCTTTTACGGTTTCCAATTTCTGATTTAACATTCTTATAGTGTCATAATCAAAGAAGAAAGTATACCACCTTGTGGGACGCCAGCATCAAGACTAGTTCACTGGGAACTCTTCTGTCCCACATGGATGGACTGCTGATGCTCGCGAAGATGTAAAGAGAACCAATCCAAGACTTCGGCTGCAAGTTTTAAATGGGACAGGATAGATAAAATGATATCATGGTCAACTGCGTCATTAGAAAAGTCAATAAGCACCATTACAGAGACTTTCTTTTTTCCATCCCTTGTCTGATGTCTTTCGTAACTTTGAGTGATGACGTAGTGGTGATGTGACCGAGACGAAACCCATATTACTTGTTTATGTACACAGCCTTCCAGACCTTTGGATAGATAGGGCAATATCCTGTCCTGTATCTACAGGAAGAAGATGATTAGGTAACGTGGGATTTGAAATTTTGGGAATGGGACGTATGAAAGCCTTTTTCCAGAGAGTTGGATACCGACCCGAGTTTAAAGAAAATATAACAATGTGATTAAGTGCAGGTTGTATATACTCCAGTATATTGACTATCATTGTTCTACGGATTTCATTACAACCCACAGTCTTGGATTTAATTCCTCGAGCAATTTTTTTAATATCATCTTGGTGCACTGGAGAAAGAAGAAGGAATTTGAGGAGGTTGTATAAAAGCTAAGCAGACTATTATATAAACAAATTTTAAACTTAAGTTAAAAATATAAATAATCATATAGCGTTATTGAAGTTTTTAAAAATACGAGTAAATAAGGCTTCTACTTTTATTTAAAATTATCTCAAAGTGAATTTGATAAATGGGCAACAACTCTGTGTGCGATTCAATTTACAACGCGTTTGCCGACCGAGCGACCCTTACGAGTGTAAGCGTGCGTAGTAAAATAGTAGGCACAAGATATTTATGAATGACAATCAGTTAAAATAATGCATTTCCACGCATTCCGAATTTAAAAGATAAAAAGGACAAAATGATTGAGATTTTTTTTAATTAATTTTTCTTCACCATTTGCCTACAATATTACTTATTCTGAACCTTCTCTGCGAATTTAGCCGGTTATTGTAAAATAACCCTGTATGTCACAGATGATTCGATAAAGTGTTAATCTCAGAGCTTTTTCTAAATATAGTATATTGATCATTGATATTTTAAGTATTGAAGATCTTACCCAGAAACGTAAAAGGCAGCTGACCTCGGCCGTAGTATGAAAAAAAAGGCTCTGTTGTGCCGTTAGATGCTTCTTAGTTGTGGAAGTTAAATATGGTATAAATTTTTTCTCTTTAAATTACTGTTTTATTAATTAGGCTTGTTGTTTGTTGAGAATTGTGTATCGACTGCTGGTAAAGTATGTCGTACTAAAATTTTCAAATATATATTTTATTATATCTGTTTATTTATTTTTACTTCCTCTGTTTACGTAATATATTATTTTTCTTTTTGACTTTTAAAATATAAAAAACTATAAATTATTAGTCATTTAAGATACATTACGATTACACTACATAATAAATTAAGTAATGTTTAATTAAACTTAAATAATAAATTATATTGTAATAAATAACTAAGTTAACTTGCCTTTTTAATTGCACTGTATAATGTGATCGTTATCTGATATTTTAAACTCCGCATTTAAAAAAAAAATATCAGTAGGTATTGACAACTTGAAAAATATTTAGCGCGAAATCCACACACACACACACACACTCACACACAGACACATATACACACACACAATCGTTGTTCTAATCGTATCCCAATTTGGAAGAAATCAGCTTTAGTAGAAGAATTATTTGTATCATCTAGTCGTATCTATGTACTCGTAGCAATTTAAATGCGATTCTAATTGAGTGTGTTTAAGATAAGATTGTATTTATCAGTCATTACGTATTATTATTTGACTGTTTTCGTCTGTACTAGCGGTGCCTAGTTTCTCCTGGGAGAAGTGTTTGTTCACGGGGCTGTGTGGCAACATTTTTAACTAGATTTCTACTGTTATATATGAGCATTTCCGGTTTGTTATAAGTGTTTTATAGTATCCAATGACGATTGTTGACTTGTTTCGCTGATCGGAATTTAGTGTGCAAACATAGAATGAAGAAAAATTATTTTCATTTTTTATGTTTAGCCGGCTAGTAAAATGGTCCTAATATTTTTGTGAGTAATATTTTTTATTTTTTATTAGCTTAATATCTTAAGGATTTCTTATTTACGCGAAGACTACACATTGAATGAAACTAA